TTTGGCTTAAAACCTTTGAATTTCGTTGGCAAATATAAAAGCCAAAAAGGACTGCTTTTACGGTATTCGAAAAGTATTTAACACTGAACACTGAACACTGAAGTCTTTTAGAAAGCAATTTACAGTACAATGAAAAAATGCTTTTGATTTGCATACAAAATAGCATGAAGCATACTTAATAGAAAGGATTTACCACATAGCATAGTGAATGTGAATGAAGCCTTTATTTTTTTCATTAAATCAAAACGTTTTTTTTTTGTTTTGTTTTGATTTTTTTTTTCTATGTTCCATTGCAGTAGTCAGTACCAATGAAATAACTGCACTGAATATCAATGGCAAGGACAGCCTTTGGATTGATAGAGGTTGGCGCACCACAGACACAGACAAGGATTCGGGCCTTAGTGAAACTAAATTGCTATCGAATGCCAACAGTCAGTCGAATTATACATCTGATGGTGGCACCGACTATGCCGAAGTGGACACTCGCAATATGAGCACATTCTACAATTGCAGAAAGGCAAGTATAATACTCCTACCATAGAGAAAAATCAAATCAGTTTACACGTAAAATAAAAAGAAAGAGAAGAAAAAAAATTAAAACTAATTTTGTCTGATTTCTATGAAAGTGACTACAATTTTAATTTCCACTTTTTTGCTCTTACTTTTATACAATAGAGTCCCGAAAATCCGACACCTTATGCAACGACTATGATTATTGGTGCCTCATCTACCGAAACGACTTGCATGAAAACATCATCCTCAAGCACTGACCAAGACTCCGGCACTCATTCACCACATTCGGATGGTACAACACCACAATGCACTGGTGGCGGTAATGCTGTCATTGCTGGCTTACCAGGCGGTCCAAACACAAAACACAGCTATCATCAATATCCACCAGGTTGGTTTGCGTTTGAATGTAATTTAATGAATTTTTAATATCGGCATGTCATAATCCTTGCAATATGCAAAAAACTATATATCAAAGCGCATCCGTTTACTATCCTAGCTTTCGATTTCTTTCATTCTCTAATATTTTTTGTTTATAACATTCTTTCTCCTTCTAATCATACACAATTCGATTTCATTTTCTTTATTTTGCATTTCTCAAAATTTTCCTTTGTACAGATATCCTTTGTTTCTAATATTGCTCCATTGTGTGTGGTGCACACTTTTTCGTATGCTCGTATCCTTTCGTTATATAGAATTTATCACAGATCCTTTATCGGTGCTTTTTTAAAACTATTTTCGTACCGATTCTTTCCTTTTACATTTTTTATTTTCTAAGGCACGACGTTACATTCTTTTGTTTTCGCAGTCGATTTGATTTGCTTAAAAAGATTTCGACATTTTTTGGTTTCTATATTTGATATCCTTGATATCCTTGATATTCTTGATTTGCTTTAGTTTAAATCTCGTTTTATTTTTGGCCATTGATTGCCATTGACAGCTGCACAAGTGGGGGTAATATGCTTCCTTTTTATTTGTTTCTTACGTTGCTTAAACGATTTGTATTTTCTAGATACTTTTTTTCAATTCCTTATTTTTGTTTTTTTTTTTGCCCTCTTCTTTTGTACACTCCGCATTATGTTGGAATATCAAGCAACCCCTGCAGCAAGGATTTTTCCTTTTCTGCAGTGGGTTAAGCTGGTATTTCTTGTATTTGCAATATTAAAATTTCAATTACTCGAGGCGTGTACTTTCAAGTGTTTCCTGTTTGTAAGTGATAGATAAGATTTGTTTGCGCTCCTTCGGATTGAGGCTGCTGAAGTGTATCAGCCTGCGGCGCTTCGCAAGTTTTCAAGTTTCGTAGGAACTTTCCCAAAGATTCTTAACCGATAAACTGAAATAGTTTTATTGAGTGTCGTTTTATGTAATTATACACACAACTTCAATATGTTCCAAATGTTCAAAATGTTCAAAATGTAAAGGAATTTTGTTATTGAAACGAGCGGAATTTTAAATAAAAATTTTTATTATAGATTTTTTGTAATAAATATATTAAAACTATTTTAAGTTTGAAGGGAAAGATAAGAAACAGGATAATAACAAAATAAATTGGTTGAGTAAATGAGTTTAAGTTACAAAACTGTCAAATAAGTACAACGAAGTAATAATAAGTAGAAAACTTAATGGATAAAAAGGTTAATTTGCGAGGGATATACTTTAAGAGCCCATCATACCATACAAAATTGTTTAAGTAAAAATGTTTAAATTACAAAAGATTTTACTCAATTTAGTAGTACTAAGTCGAAATCTTCATACATATAAGGATTCACTTAATAGAGCTAATTTCTCAGAGACCGTTATATTTAATAAGGAGAATAAAATTGTGTATGAAAGAGTTTACTGAGTTCGACAAAGTAGTAATAACTAGAAATCTTAAGTGATATATTGGTATATTTATTAGAACTATTTTCAGAGAGACCCTCGTATTGAAAAAGTAAAATGAAACTATGTACGAAAGAGTTTACAGTTTTACAAAGTATAAATCTTAATGGATATAGAGGTTTATTTGTTAGACCCATTTTCTAAGAGGCCCACGTATTGAATCAGAAGAATCAAATAAGGTACGAAAGAGTTAACAGGGTTCGACAAAGTAATAATAAGCAGAAACCTAAATAGATATTTGTTAGAACTATTTTCTAACATATGAGACCATCGTATTGAATCAGAAGAATAAAATAAGGTACGAAAGAGTTAACAGGGTTCGACAAAGTAATAATAAGTAGAAGTCTTAATAGATATATAGACTCATTTGTTAGAACTATTTTCTAAGAGACCGTTACGTTGAATCAGAAGAAAAACTAGTTGCGGAAGAATTTACGGACTTCGACAAAGGAGTAATAAGTAGAAAGCTTAATGAATATTTGCTAAAGGTGTTTTTTAAAAGACTATCGTGTTCTATACTTTACAGTAGAATTAACTGAATTAATAATAAATAATTTTTTATAATTCATTAATATTAATTGAATTAAAAATTAATAATACATAGAAATTTTAATAGAAATTCATTTCCTGAAATTCATAGTCGACAAACAAGTACCAAGTAGAGATCTTAAGAAATATAGAGGCTTATATGTTAAAGGTATTCCGTAAGAGAACATCGTACAATATCAATGGAATAAAAGTGTTTCAATTACGACAATATTTACTTAATTTGACAAAGTATCAATAAGTAGAAATCTTACTTAATAACGTGGGTTATTTGTTAGAGGTATATTTTTGGAAAGCATTATGAAACCTATGGGTTATCTAACTGTAATAAACAATATATTTTTGGAAAGCTGAAAACGTATTGTATGCTTTTATTAAAGCAAAGTCATAGCTTTGTATTACATACCATTTAGTTGTTATTCGTCTTCGAATATGTAAAAACCGAAAAGAATCCGCAACTTTTAGAAAATACGAGACCTAGATAATATGTAAGTAAATTGGAAAAAGGATCGAATCATCCGCACTTAGCTAAGAAACCAGTTTTAATTCTACATTACTCATAATTGTGGATAGAAAGTTGACTGTATCAGAATCAGCCAGACCACAAATACACTCTGTTTTATAAAACTCATCCCTACATCCTTTGTTGATCATATTTCAATGAAAATTATCCCAGATGTAAGAAATACTGAAAACTAGAGGAAGATAAATATAGCAACTAAGTTGAATATTGTGATTATGCAGTTGAGGTGCAATTACTAATTCTTATATAGAAGTACCTTAACGATTTAAATCAAAAACATTAACGTTAGTCTTAAACATAAAATCCAAAACACAACATTAGAAATAATCCTTATACATAAGACATGATTTCATGTCACATCTCATACCTTATATCCAAATATTTCGAAATATCTCTTGTGGCTGTATTGGCTATTGTAGCTGTATTGGATGTTCGGGGATTGAAAAAATTATATTAGTCAGTTTCCCATTCTAACTATTATAAATAAGATTATCATAAATTACAAAATTTAATAGATATAAAATGAATCCTTACTATAAATATATTTGGTAGTATTTATAACAAGTTAACATTATGCATCTCAAATGATGACGCTAACACCATCCGCTCATATAAATGAGTCCATACTCATGTCATTTCTTTAAAATTGGCTAAACTATTCCATCTCATCATTACCTGTCTTCTCTTCCTTGATTTGTTAGCATATATTTTGAAGAAGCCTTAGAATACTACTATGCGCATTGTTCATTCATTCGCACACATACATTAATCTGCACATACTTCACTGACATTGCAACCAATACACAAAGAGTACCCGACTCGATAAACGAGATGCAGTTTTATAAATTATAATTATTAATTATTAAAATATTTGAAAATAGTATTTAGTTTACAGATTAATTTATAATGAAAGCTATTAATAAACATTTATTTCTTTTTTATTTTTTTTTTTTATAAAACACTTTTCTAAAACTTCTTTAAAAAATTTAATTTTCTTTATATTTTCTTTAATAATTCTATACTTTATAAACTTTCTATGATTTCATGTAACTCCTAAACTCCGGTTCCTTTTTGTTCTCCTAACTTTGGTGTCGTAAAAACTTAAAACAAACACAACAAAAAAAAAAAACACAAAAACAAAACGTACCAAATTATTAATAGAACAAATAAATTGGTCAGAATTTTTACCTCCACCACCGGAACATCCACCACCAGTGCCATCTTCTTGTGGCTATGCACCTGGCTCACCACAATCTTCACGTAAAAGTTCAAAAAGTGGCGGTTCTGGTGTTTCAACACATCAGAGGTTTGTATATAATTTTTTATTATATATTTAAATTTTTTATTTAAATTTTTTGTTTTTTTTTATATTTCTACGCCCTCAATTAAATACTAACTTTAGTGCTCTGAATTCCTCCATACATAGCAGTTCATCTGGAGGTTTCTCATCTTGGGGTGTAGCACCACAATGTGCTTCAACTCGACAACAGGAAAACTATTATAATAATCCACTGCCTTGCGTAGGAGGCGCACAAAATCGTTATCAAATCACACCAACTGGACAGCATCCACCACCATTGCCACCCTACTATCCACAAGCAGTAGCAGGTACTGCACAATTGCCACAACGGAATATACATATCCATTATCCACCACCTAGACATGCTATAAGCGAATATCAACCTAGTGGCACACATAATTCCCGTTGTTCAAATGGCAGGTAAGTTGATATTAAAGGAGTATTATGCATATAATGAGATATAATATGTATGTATGAGTATATAGTTGAATTATATATGCAAGTACAGACAAACTTATGGCAACACAGAATTAATTGGAATAGAATTTGTAGTGCCTAAGGAAGCACAGAAATATTATTTTTTTTTTATGAAGAACTAAAAGCTTATATAAATAGTTTTTAACAGCATTTCACTTCAGTTAACAAAAAAAAAAGTTAAAGTTTTTAGGAAGTACTGTTTCTCTTCTTATGTTATATTCCAATCAACACCCAATTTATTTTATCTTTCATTCATTTTAATTAATTTCCATACTTCATTCTTTAATTTCTTTAGAGGCTGCAATAGTTGTGATGTATTAACTTCTCCAATACAACCACTGCCACCACCCGGTGAAGGCTGGTATCAACCTTTACACAACCAAGTTCCACCAAACTCATCTGCACATCAAATCTATCAATGTTCCTCCGAATGTTCCGATCACTCCAGGCACTCACACTCGCATGGACACGGACATATGCATCATAACGGTCATCATGGACATCAACACCATCATGGACACAGCAACAGCAACACACATGGTAACACCAACGATACTATGCGTTCCGAGAGTAGTCAGGAAAATGGTAAACCTATCACAAACTGTCGCAGTCAGAAATCATCTAATAATGGTTATACCGATATCAATGAAACTGAACGCGATCAAATACTTAAGAGCTCTTCCGCATCCTACACCTACGAGGTACTCGGCGATCATCGTAACTGCAGTGATTGTTGTAGTTCACGTGAAGGTGATACATGCTCATGCAGTGAGGGCTCCTGTTTGTACGCTGAGGCCGGCGAGCCTGGTATGCCAATGAGCACCGTTGCTGCGTCTAATAAAATGAATGCCCCAAACAATTGATATGCAACAACTTTTGTGACGGATGTGGTCATGCATTTTTAGTCGAAGAGATTTTAGAGTGTGAGTAGCATAAATATTTATTTTTATTAATTAGATTAACCATAAGTATTGTGTATTGTACATTAAACATGTAGCAGCTCTTTCAAAATCATCGAATATGTACACTTTCATTATGAAAACTTTTAGTAACTCTTTGAAGGAAATATTTTGCTTTAATAAATTTCTTCTTTAACTATTTTTAATTAAAACAAATTTAGAATTATGTCTCGAATGGAAATATTTTAAGAAAATTCCTTTATTTTACTTTAACTATAAACGAGCATTTTACACATAATTTTATGTAATTTATTAAAGTTTCTTATTTCATTAGATTTCTTTTCCCCTCCTCCATTCGCTTAGTGCTTCCCACATCGATTGAGTTTAGTTCGAGACAATTTTCGCGTGACTTGAACACATTTTGCATGTCATTAAAATGCTGCCACAAATGCCACACTGCGCCAGCCTGTCAAAATCATAGCCATGGCACATAGCTAAAAGTCAGTCAGTCAGTAAAATCCTACTAAATCCTGTGCTGCTTTTAAAAAATCGCTCCTTTTAACTGCGGCTCCTTACAACAATCCAACATAAATTGCTGGTAATTTTCTATGTACAATAACGAAATTTATTTCTTTACATTTGTTGGCATTTCATGGTTGCCATCAACTTCAACGTCATTTCTATTTCGTTGCCTATTGTTAGGCGCATTGGCGGTTCATCACAATTTATAGCGAACGATTTTTATAATAGAGTTTTGTGATTTACCAGACGAGCTTCTATCGCATAGATAGCGATTACTTATAAATACATGAGGGTTATTTTATATATGTAATAACTAAAGCTATGTTATCGCTTATATACATGCTATGTATATGCTTAGTACATACTGCATGCCTATGGTATTTACAGTGGTTATAAATAGAGTGCAACTTGAACAATGCACCGCTCGTTTGGCACTTATTGACATTTTAAGTAAGCAAATTTTATAAGAAGCACGCGATTCTGGTTTCACTGGATGTGTGCCCGTTGTTGTGGGGCAGTCATAAAATTTGCCACAAAACCAGCATGGAATACCTCCAAACGAAAGGAGCAATAATTCAACATAAATAAATCATGAATATGGTAGCAATAAAGGCACAAAACATTTTTAATGAGCGCAAATTAGGTGCAAAATATCACGAAAGTTAAATGTTGAAAAGTTAAGATTAAAACCAAAAACTATTTTTACACTAAACCGTTTTTAATAAATTTTTAGCAGATTTTGTCATGACTTTATTAAAGAAATTTTTAAAAATATATCTTATATTAACTGAAGCTCTTTGTACCACATACTAAAAAATATAGCGTTCTTAAAATAATTTATAATAACTGGATTAACATTAATAATCAGTCATTTAAACCATTTAGCCAAAAAAAAAAAAACCAACTAATGCTGAATATTATAGGCTAGCTTAGATGATGAGGGTGTGTGGTATTGCAATTATCAACAATCTCAGTCAGAAACATCAATTGCCCATCGCGGTACCTTTAAAATTGTCTAGAAGTAGCGAATTATACTTTTCTTATGACTCCTAAACCATTTGCTGAACAGTGTGAGACTTGAGTCCACTAAAACCACCTCTTAAGAATGATTATAAATGATTGCAGCTGCGTTCTGCAGATGCAACTCCATTCCAGTAATGAAGGGCAGAAATGAGAGCACATAGGTTTAGTATTTAGCAAGCTAAATTTATTCAAGCTAGAGAGCCTGGACTTACTTATTTGAAAAGTATGTGTTTATGTTTGAAAGAGGGGTAAGCACATACTTGTGGAAAGTCTAGTTTGGTATATCCCTACACTTAGAGATTCTTTAAATACGGTACATCCCAAGTTTGCTAGATGGCCAATTAGGCTAAAATCGCAGCACCTCTAAAATGTACCGGACAGCTGAAGCTGTGTGATTAGGTTGAAAGCAATGCAGGGATCTTGTTTTCGCCTTAGGCATGGGTTTTCCTACAGCAATCGCAACAATGTATGGTTAGACTTCGCGATATGGTAATACCGCTGACATTGGTTGATAAATTGCTGGACATCAGTGTGAGATTTCCGTACTAAGAAGATAATGATTTTTAGGGACAAACCTAAAAATGTTTGGGGACACCGAGCAGTGACGTCATGTCAGTGCCTGGATGCTGGATGCAACTACCAGAGGGAGAAAAGAGGCATACATTCAGCCGGGGGCTGAATTCTCTTAATTCCACTTTTAATATGATTACATGATCTCGTACTTGAATATTTTACACTATATTTAGCACAAAATTAATTAAGAAATGTATTAAATGATATATGGATATTGAGTTATATTTAGTGAAAAAACACTGAGACTGTATGGGACCTATAGCTTGCTACTACTTTTATTTAAAGTCTTTCTACGTGGTTATTTTATTTACCCGGAAGGTTCCTAAATATTATCGGGAACTATTACGATTATAATGGAACTAATTATAGCTTAGGGATTATTAATTATCGCAAACGAGTAGCTCTGCGTTGTAGCTCCAACTATTTTTGAAGACTGTTTCTATCCCGCCTAATAGGTTCAATTTATATCGCAATTTCAATTTATATATTGGAACTTTAAGCAGATTTTAGCATTTTTGGATCGCTGATAATTAGCGATTTTGGGTTTTTTGGGCTGTATATTGCAATTGAGTTAGTTAGTTGTTAGTTAGTGGCATTTGATTGCCAATGACGTTTGACTCTCAAATAATTACCCTAATTTTTTTAAATATGATTGCAAATAATGGTTCTTAAGAAAATATTCTTATTATGTTGAAGCTATTTGAGCCAGAGCTCTTAAGCACATTTACTCTTTCTTAACTCGAGGTATTTTCAAACCCTTTCTTTACGCCTTAACTGGATTATTGTTTATCACTTCATCTGCATACCTCCCCGAGGAGCCTGTAGCCATTCTTGATTTGATAGCGCGGTGTTGGTAAATCTGTCAGTTTTCGCAAATAATTTCAGGGCTTTATGTATTTTTTGATGTGATCAATCTTGAGGTTCCTGAGGATGTCATTCATCCTCATGTACCATAGTAGTTTGAAAAATATTCTCAGAGTCTGCCTTTGTGCAATTTCTAGCTAGCGAATAGTAGTGTTTGAAGCTTTGTTAAACGCTACACAACCATATAGAAGTGACGGACGAATTATTTGGTTATATATCAGCTTTCTGTTCTCAGCATTGAGATTTTCATTTCTGAATAGCGGTTGAAGGTGATGAAGAATTTTGGCACAGCTAATTCTTTTCAGTTGAACATGTTTAAGCCATGTGAATCGTTTGTCCAGCGTGATACCAAGATATTTAACGCTATCCTCCCAGTTTATTACCATATCACCCACTCTCACTCTCGACGGATTCTGTTTCCACTTACGCGTTATAAACAGAGCATAATATATAATTTGTTTTAATTTACATATTAATTTTATTAAATTTTTATTGAAGCAAAATTTCCTTAACAAAATTGTAAGACGTGTAAATTTTGTTTAGAAAAGTGTGCCATAATGTGTATATTCCCTCCTTTCCAAACCTTATATTAAAATAATAGTTATTATATATATATTATACTGTGTGTATGTTATTTAATTAAACTGTCAGTTAAGTTATTTAAGTATATGAGTTTTGATTTAAAGGTTTTTGGAGAAAATATACTTTAAAAAAAATTATATATTAAAGGAAGGATAACTTGAAAACCTTGAGAAAAAAACTCATTGCTTAAAGAATTGAATTAATGTTTTTAAAAATGCATGATTTTAAAATATAAAAATTAATTGATTAAATAAAACAATTTTTAAACATGTAAGAATTTGTATAGAAAATAAAAAAAATGGCATTAAGCATAACAAAATACAGGGTAAAAAACAAGCAAGTTTAAAAAATTTTAAAATTATTATGAAATCATCAAAACGAGTAAATGTTTTTTATATGTAAAATTCCAGTAAAAGGTAATGCATTTATACTATAGAAATAAAATACAATTCTTAACAAAATAAGACATCAATAGATTTAAAAAAAAAAATATTTAAATTGAAAATAAAAATTAAAAATATAGTAAAATTAATATAAAATTGTGTTCAGGTTGTTAAATGACAAAAATACGTACGCAAATCAAGCACAAAGCAACAATAAAGCCCGAAGTAGTTAAAGGCTTTGAATGCCTGCTATAAGGACTGCTTCATAAACAACGTATATAGTATATAGCAATATTACCTAAATATTTTCAAAACAATAATAAATGTATTTTAGATGTTTAATATGTAATATATAGACGAAATACAATAATTGAGAGAAATTTTGCACTACTGAATAAAATATTGCCTAAAATATTAATCGATGCAAAAGAAACTTGTGCGACTACGCCCGTTCAAAAATATTTATATAAATGAATAAAATATTACAAATAAAAAAAAAAAATTAATTGTAATAAAAATTTAACTTTTAGATACAACACATGGTTAGTGGTTAAATAAAAATAATGTTTAAAATACAATTAAAAATAATAATAAAAAAAATTATATTAAAAATAATATTAAAAAAAAATTATATTAAAAATAAACAAAAATGATATAAAACTACTTAAGCTAATTTTTAAACTTAACAAAAAAAAAAAAAAATTAGCGGAAAAATAAAAATAGAATTTCTAGCATACTTAGTCTTAGTAAACTAAAAGTGTTTTTTATTTTTAAACTTACAAGTAAAAAAATATAGACGTGAAATTTCATTTTGTGTGAAAAATTTAAGCACAAAACTCCTAACAAAAAATGTATTTATTTTTTGTATTTAACTAAAATGTACGTGTACCTGTGATATTACATATTTCATTGAACTTTATCATTATCAATTCTATATGTTGATTTGTTATAATTTTAGCAACTAATTACGTTTACGTTCAAACGCATATGAATTCGACATATTAATTAGCTAAAATAATAAGATAAATAAAACAAAATCAAATTAAAACTTCGAATTAAATAATAATAATTTTTATATATATAAAAAAAATAAAAATAAATGTTTAAGACTCTTATAAACATAACATTTAATATTTTAAGATTCTTTAGCAAAAAAAAAAAAATAATATTGCTA